GCATAATCCGAAGCCTCGGTACAATGCTGACGAGCCTAAAAAGGGTGGATCCAACCTCAACCTATTCAAAGGCAATCCGAAGAATGGCGAACCATTTCATTTTATATCTTCAACAACCTGATAGAAGTGCGGCCGTACATCGAGTAAGTTCTCGGTACATTGTTTCGCAACTTCTATTTCCTTTGAGCTGCTCTTATTCTTGGATATTTCATACAGTCGATACGTCGCCCTATTCTCATATGGAGCGGTGATCCAAAAGGATTCCGTCGAAGAGTATGAGCTTCTCGCAAAGCAAGGAGGCGGCTATCCCGGTTTCATCTCTTGGTTCAAACAAACGGTAAATTCTATTAGACAATTTCATTTCATTCGCTAATTTGTGCGTAATGCAACAATCCTTTCATATTAAACTTGTAGGCTAATTCAGAGTCTATGGACGCCGAATTGCGACAAGTCGCTAATGGTTTTGATTATAAGGTCCATTCATTTGACAAATACGACATCAACGGGTATCATTTTCGTACCTATGGCAAAGAGCTATCTATGGCCGACCGAAAGTCTACAAATTGTTGTGTATCTGCTATCGGTGAAGGAGGTACCGAGTATTATGGGAGAGTTGAAGCAATTTATGAACTTCTATTCTATGGTGAAAACCCATCGAATGTCAGTCTTCAAATGTTATTGGTTTCAGCCAAAGGAGACTATAAGCACTCATGAACATATAGGGCTAGTTGAAATCAACCAAAGCACCCATTTAGATGTTCCTGATGTCTATATTATGGCTCAACAGGCGACCCAAGTATTCTATCTACCCTGGGCCTGCCAAACTAATCCAAATCTGAAAGGTTGGGATGTCGTTTATGAAGTGCCGCCACGTGCTAGACTATCTCCCCCAAAGGAAGAGGATTATGAACCTCACATTAACCCAGACACATATGAAGGAGAATTCTTCCAAGAGACACGTCTTTCCAAAAAGCGTTTCAAGAACCGGTATACTTCACCCCAAAACATTAAAGTAGACAGCGACAGTGAATCCCACATCACCCCAGAGGAGGAACAAGAAGAGCCGGAACAAGAAGAGGTTACTGCTGCGGACGACCTCTCAATGCTTGACCGATTACGTAAAGGTGGCCTTCCACATGTTGATGCCACTGAACCCTATGAGCCCGTCATTGATTATAGTGATGATGATGATTATGCATTTATTGATGATACTGATCGAGATTATTAGTAGTGTCAGGTATTCAATTTTTTATGTTGTACTTGATGATGATACACTTAAATGATATACATATTATTATTCATGTCAGTATTTTTTTTATGTTGTACTAATTTCGTTTACTCTTTGTCATGGCAAGTGTTGAAAGATGGAAGGGGAGCCGACTAAGGCCAAGGACAAACGTGCCCAAATTAAAGGTGTGCCACACCATCAAGGTAGCTCCAGCTTATATCAGTTCGGGCGGAATTGGTTAATGTGGTTTGCTTCATTATTAATGCAATTCATTCATCATGCTAGCTTGAGCCCTTTAATTACTAATTTACTTTGTTTCTCTCTTTCAGGCATGCTACAATAAGACGGATAAGGTGCCAGAGGGGTACGACCTGTATGCCATGGCCCACACTGCATCTTACAAGCAAGTCAAGGGGAAGGCGAGGAAAGGGGAGGAGTTTAACCCGAGCCAGATCCCTTACAATCCAGAGCAGGTGATGATATCTAGTGGCGGGAGGTCCCGTGGCTCCATAGCCATTGATCCAGAGATTTCTCCTGAGACCACGGTGAGTTTAATTTGAATGGACGTTACTTGCTAGTCTTAACATTTGAGTGTCATCATGCTAACGAAACATTGGAAATGATCTTTGGTGCAACGTTACTCCACACAAGCATCACACGATCCTTCTCCAGCTACTGGCCTGAGCCAGCCCGCTCCCACACCTCCATGATCAAGGTAAGTTTCTCTAGTTTTTTGCTTAACAAATGCATAAAGACCTAGACTTAGCTTTATTTCATCCAATATGCTTACCTTAATGACCTAGACGTAGCTTCTTTTCCTACAAAATGACTTAATAAGCTTACTGACCTTCAAAACCAGCCATTTTACCTAAGTTAGCTCTAAAACGATCTATACTTAGCTTTGTTTCCTCCAAAATGACCTAAGTTAGTTATAATATGCTTAGTTAACTAGGTTTGCTCAATAATGACATGTACTTACCTTACTTATGTAAAAAACGGCATAATTAGCTTAGTTAGCTCATAAACGATCCATTTTACCTACATTAGCTCTAAAATGATGCATTTTACCTAAGTTAGCTCATAAACGATCCATTTCACCTAAGTTACCTCACAAACGATGGCGTGCTTCTTCTTCTAGTCACCTTTTCCTAACTTTCTTATTTGCCATTTTACAGATTTCATTCACTTCTCGAAAGCTAGCTTACTATGATGGAGTGCTTGTTTTTAATTTCATTCTCTTCTAGTATTCTTCTAACTTGCTACGATGAAACTTGCTATCTTGATGAAACTTCGCATTGTAATATGTATGTGCAACTTTGCTATCTTGATGGAACTTGCTATGTATGAGTGGATGGAACTGTATATGTATGTACGATGAAACTTATGTGCTGTTAAATAGCTCTATGAAATATATCTATATATGTCATATATATTTGCTGTGAAAATTGTTGGATTTAAAAAAAACAGAAAAAGAGCCAATATGCAGGCTCTTTGCCGTCAACCACCGACGGCAAAGGTCTCTTTGCCATCAGCAGCGGACGGCAAAGAGGCCACGTGGCAGGCAACTGTGCTTCCTGGAAGGCTGACCTATTTGGTCAGTTTGCCAATAGTGGCTGACGGCAAAGAGAAAAAAACTTTGCCTACAGCGGCGGACGGCAAAGGCCTTCCGATGTTTGCCGTCAGCGGCCGACGGCAAAGGCTTGCCGTTAACCACCTAACGGAGTAACAGCGCAATTATTGCCGTCAGTATTCTTTGCCGTCGTCAGCTGATGGCAAAGGACCCTTTGCCGTCAGCCACCCGAAGCGGACGGCAATGTAGCTCTTTGCCGTCCCGTACGTTGCCGTCCACTTTTGCCGTCCGCGGCGGACGGCAAAGACTTTTGCCGTCCGCCATCCGTGCCTTTGCTGTCCGCTGTGGCTGATGGCAAAGTAGCTGATTCCTGTAGTGAATCCTGCTACGCATGTTACTGCTCGCGCCACTTCTCTTTGCTCCTGGTAAGCGACCTACGTCTGCAAATTTTATACTGTACCAAGAACCATGCGTTTGCCATCCAAACATGAACTTTTACTCCATTACACATCCATCTATTTTGCTTTTGTGGATCATTATATTGCAGGGCCTCATCTTTTTTTCATACACCATGCATGTTATGGTGGTTGTTTTGTAGGATCGGAAGCCGATACCTGCACAAAATACAGCGATAGCTATCAGGGGCGTCCATGCCGTGACGATCCATGTCTTCAGGGCTGTAAAAAGGATGGTTTTACCCAAGGGCGGTGCCGCCTGGCCTACCTAACAATCGTATGTATCTGCGAAAAAGAATGTTGAATAAGAACATGTAGCAACCGCAGTGGGATGTGTGATGTGTCAAATAATATACTCCCTCCGTCCGAAAATACTTGTCATCAAAATTAATAAAAAAAATGTATCTCAAACTAAAATACATCTAGATACATCCTCTTCTATCCATTTTGATGACAAGTATTTTCGGACGGAGGGAGTAGCTCTGTGGTACACTGAGTTGACGATGATCAATAACACGAGTTGAGGCTTTACCAAATATTATTATATTCTAGAGAAACAATTTGGTTCCTTCGTCAAGCTTCCCAGCTTCTTCCTGTCGTCAACATGGTTTTTTTTCCCACCGAAATAGTATGATCGTGAACCTACTTAATTACCTTTTCATACTGTCCAGCCGGGCGCTTGCCGATCCATTTTGGCTGTAGGCTCACTCATATGGTTCTGAGCCACTGCACTCGACGCCTCCTCCGCGAAGATTGGTAGCCTATTTTTGCCCTTGCTCCAAGTCCTCCAAGATCACATTGGTCTATGGTGGAATGCTCTGCCCGCCATGCATCAGTTTCCTTCTCCGTTAGTGTCACATAACATTTCAGATCGATCTTCTCTTTCTCTGGAGCCCAGTTGCCCGACGGACCCCAAAAGTAGAGTTTGTCCCTCCGCCGCCGGCGATTCTGATTCTTGCTGCTGCTCCACGCCTCCTCCGCCATTGCCGAGCTGCCCTCCATTGGAACCGGATCCAATCAACCCTCTTTCCCCAGGCCATCAACTAGACCGGAAGTATAGAATCCCTCTTTGCCAAGGAAGCAAGCCACTATGAAGATGCGTATGTATGCTGCTGCTGCGCCAACAAGAAAAGAAGCTTCTTTCTTCTTTCCCCCTCCTCGTCTTCCCTGGAGGATGGATGCAAGAAGGAAAGGATCGCACTCCATGGCCCGGCTTTATCTCTCTTTCTCCACCGTGCTTCCTTCCCCATCTGAAGCCACAGCGGAGGCGAATGTGACGGCATCCCTCCTTCCTGGTAATTTCTTTTGTCCTTCTTCTTCTTATTATCAGTCTGCTCTGGTGCTGGATCTATCACACCCTCTGAATAACCGGAACATTTGGCCATCTGCTAATTGTAGTTTGTGAATCGTAAATTATCCTTCTTATTACTCTGCTCTAGTGGCCATTTGCTAATTAGTTTGTCAATTGTAAATTATCGTTCTGGTCTGCCATTTTGCAGATCTCTCAAGTTCAGTCGCTTGGCGTCGAGGCTGCGTTCCTCGCTCTTGGATACCAACCCCATTTTGGTCGCTCACGAAGCTGCCGTCGACAACAACAACACCAGGTATATGCTCTGTTTCCTCTCTGTTATTTGCCTCTTCAGATTTAGCTCAAGGCCAGCCATTGATTGGTCCAACTGATATTGTTTGCAGTACAGCCTCTATCCGTAAAAACTAGTTGAATTGATCTACAGAAACATCCAGTAAAATGGAGGGGACGGCCATCAGCATCGGCAAGTCCGTGTTGAGCGGGGCGCTCAACTACGCCCAGTCGGCTGTGGCCCAGGAGGTCGCTCTGCAGCTTGGTGTCCAGCGTGACCATTCCTTCATCAGGGGTGAGCTCGAGATGATGCAGTCATTCCTGATGGCTGCACACGGCGAGCGAGACGACAATAAGGTGGTCAAGACTTGGGTGAAACAAGTCCGCGACGTGTCCTACTCTGTCGAGGACTGCCTCCTGGATATTGCTGTCCGTCTGGAGAAGCAGTCTTGGTGGTGTCTCTCTCGCAAGGTGCTAGCTCGTCGTTATGTGGCAAACCAGATGAAGGACCTCAGAGCTGAGGTGGAGGAGGTCAGCCAGAGGAACCAACGGTACCACCTCATCAAGGGCTCTAGCTCCAAGCCTACCTATGCTGTTGGGCAGCCTATCATGTCGAGCGCGACGATGTCTGCCGCCTATGATGCAAGGCTGCGGCGGCATAAAGCAAAAATGGATCTTGTTGAGTTGATCAATTACAAGGATAATGCACTTCAAGTGATAGCGTTGTGGGGCACGAGTAGCACTGATCTGGGGGAGATATCCATCATCAAAAGTGCTTATGAAGATCCCATGATACACAACAATTTTGATTGTTGTGCTTGGATCACATTGATGTGTCCTTTCAGTCAGACAGACTTCATTCGAAGCATTGTTAGGCAAATCTGTGTTAATTCTCTTCAAAAGACAGGAGAGGAAGGGAAAACCACTATTGGGGCCCAAGTTTTGAAGATGATGGCAATGACAAAAGAAGATGATTTGGCTTGTGAGTTCAAGAGATATTTGAATGACAAGAGTTACCTAATTGTACTCAATGACGTACACAAGATTGAAGAGTGGGATTGCATTAAAACATGTTTCCCAAACAACAACAACAAAGGAAGCTGAATCATAGTGTGCACTGAGCAAGTTGAAGTTGCATGCTTATGCATAGGAGCAGAGGATGAAGCTTTAGTGCACAAGAAGTTATTTGCTGATGAGTCTCTTTATGCTTTCTACAGTAAGGTAAAATTTTAAGTCCTTACAATTTTCTAATTAACTCTACACTTGTTTTTTTTGGTTCACTGTCTCAACCACTGGTTTACATAAATAACTAGACTTGGACTTGTGTTGTCATGAAAGTTTTAGGTTCATCACCATTCCCTCTATACATTTCACTTACATAGTTTAATTAAACAATAATGTATCAAAGCCTATGTGCAAAATCGACCTCATTTGCTGTTTCTACACCACCCTCCCTTCCCCATCATCGGGTTGCTTGTCCTCTGCCTTAGGCCCTTAGCTAGCCTTAGATTCAATATTGATCATGCAAATAATTCTAGTGGTTACAACTTCATACTCCATTTGTTGTGGTTACAACTTCATACTCGATTTCTATTGGTTACAACTTCATGCTCAAGTCCTCAACTCTTGCATGGAGTTATTTGGCTTCTTATACTTTTCTAGGGGCCATTGTCAGCAACCACATACTTCTTTCATAAATCAACTAGACTTGAACATGTGTTGTCATGAAAGTTGTAGGTTAATAACCATTCTACATAATTTAATTACAAATTAATTATACATTTCCTCTTCTTAATGAGAAAGAATTTGTATGATTGATATACATTGCACTTATGCTACATCTGAGATATATAGTAACCTTAATTTATCAAGGTAAATGTGCAAAAATTACTACATCTGATGTTTCTACACCTCCACATCCCTTCACCATCACCTAGTTGCATGTCCTCTGCCTTAGATCCAATGAACATGCAGGTAATACGATTGGTTACAACTACACCTCATATACTCCATTCATTTTCTAGCTCAAGCCATCAACTCTTGCATGGATTTATTTGGATTCCTATACTTAACTAGCGTTCACTGGTCAGTACATACTTCCATAAATTATATTCTTTCTATCTTCTTTAGACACCAAATGAAAGCAAGCAAATTATGAAGTTACCCCAAATAGTTCGAACATATATTGTGACTGACAACTAATGAATGGTCAAAAAAAATTAATCTGGCAAAGGGATCATTATATACTATCATCATCCTCTAATTGTTTCATGAATTTTGGAAAGGTTCCAACCATTGGAACTCTTAACAGTGTCACTGATGAAAATTCCTAGTACATGTTTTATGTGTAAACCTATCTTATTTTCCGTAATATTTTTGCTTGATATTTTGCATGTTCAAGCTAATTGTGTGCTTGTATTTAGGTATATCAGGAGGGGAGAAATTCAGCAGAAAAAGGATCCGTCTCATATGTAGTCTCTACTGGTGTTAACAACTCTATACACAAGAACATCCTCACTCGCACGGAGACAATGCCTACTCTAGAGGAATCTTGTCTCATCGGGAGAGGGAATGAAAAAGTGGAAATCATCAAACTAATCTCAAATAAAGATCTCCAGCATTTTCATGTGATTTCCTTGTGGGGAATGGGTGGTATTGGAAAAACAACACTAGTCACAGATATTTATCAAAGCCAAGAGATCAGTAGCATGTTTGATAAGCGTGCTTGTGTCACAGTCATGCGCCCTTTCAACTCAGCAACACTCTTGCAGAGTTTAATTATGCAATTCAGAGATAAGAATGAAGATAAAAATGAGACAGATTTGAGGAAATGTTTAGAAGGAAGGAGATATTTGCTTGTTCTTGATGATCTGTGGTCCAGAGTAGAGTGGGATGCTATAAAAGAGTATTTGCCAGAAACTGCAGCAAGCTGTGTAATAGTCACCACAAGGGAAGAGAATATCGCCAAGCAGTGCTCAAAGAATAAAAGAAACATATACAGGGTCAACCATCTGGGCCCTAATGACGCATGTGCTCTTTTCACCAAAAAGGTACAAATGGAGCAATGTCATACTCAATGCTTCTGCCTCTTATTTATATTACATTTATGGAATGAATGTTGTCAATTTGTTTATTTGTTTTTTGAAGGGCCAATTTTTTTATTTCAGTGAATGCTAAACTACTTTAAACTTCACAAACAATATTTTTATGTCCACTAGAAAATTGGAATTGCCATTCGTTTGAAATCTTATGCAATAGCTAGAATAATACTCCCTCTGTAAAGAAATATAAGATAGTGATCTATACGCTCTTATATTTCTTTACAGAGGGAGTACATATAAATACAAAAAGCTTTGGTACATAAACTACGATTACAATAAGGTGGAGACATGATAATTTGTATAGTTATAGTTAGGCCCAACCAAATTATTTGTAGATTTTGTAGCTGTCAAAGTGAAGTAGGATATGCCGGTTTCGCTAGCGAACAGCAAAGAAGTCAGACAGTAGAAGTGCAAACAAAGGTCCATCCCTTTTCTTGTGGATACTGTCTCAACATTTGTTCAAGAACGCGGTAATTTCAAAAATTTCCTGGTGATGCATAGCAACGAGAGGGGAGAGTGTTGTCCACGTACCCTCGTAGACCGTAAGCGGAAGCGTTATGACAACGCGGTTGATGTAGTCGTACGTCTTCACGATCCGACCGATCTTAGTACCGAAAGCACGGCACCTCCGCGATCTGCACATGTTCGGCTCGGTGACGTCCCACGAACTCACGATCCAGCAGAGTGTCGAGGGAGAGTTTCATCAGCACGACGGCGTGATGACGATGATGATGAAGCTACCAACGCAGGGCTTCGCCTAAGCACCACAACGATATGACCGAGGTGGATTATGGTGGAGGGGGGCACCGCACACGGCTAAGAGATCAATGATCAACTTGTGTGTCTATGGGGTGCCCCCTCCCCCCCCCTATATAAAGGAGTGGAGGAGGGGGAGGGCCGGCCCTCTACTATGGCGCGCCCCCCTTCCAAGTAGTAGGAGTAGGAGAGAAGGAAAGGGAAGAGAGAAGAGAAGGAAGGAGGGGGCGCCGCCCCTCCCCCTAGTCCAATTCGAACTAGGCCTGGGGGGGGTGCGTGGCCTGCCCTAGGTAGCCCCCCTCTCTCTCTCCCTTAAAGCCCAATAAGGCCCATATACTCCCCGGCGAATTCCCGTAACTCTCTCGTACTCCGATAAATACCCGAACCACTCAGAATCTTTCTGATGTCCGAATATAGCCTTCCAACATATCGATCTTTACGTCTCGAACATTTCGAGACTCCTCGTCATGTCTCTGATCTCATCCGGGACTCCGAACAACCTTCGGTACATAAAAACACATAAACTCATAATACCGATCGTTACCAAACTTTAAGCGTGCGGACCCTACGGGTTCGAGAACTATGTAGACATGACCGGGACACGTCTCCGGCCAATAACCAATAGCGGAACCTAGATGCTCATATTGGCTCCTACATATTCTATGAAGATCTTTATCGGTCAAACCGCATAACAACATACGGTGTTCCCTTTGTCATCGGTATGTTACTTGCCCGAGATTCGATCGTCGGTATCTCAATACCTAGTTCAATCTCGTTACCGGCAAGTCTCTTTACTCGTTCTGTAATGCATCATCCCATAACTAACTCATTAGTCACATTGCTTGCAAGGCTTATAGTGATGTGTATTATCGAGAGGGCCCAGAGATACCTCTCCGACAATCGGAGTGATAAATCTTAATCTCGATCTATGCCAACTCAACAAACACCATCGGAGACACCTGTAGAGCACCTTTATAGTCACCCAGTTACGTTGTGACCTTTGGTAGCACACAAAGTGTTCCTCCAGTATTTGGGAGTTGCATAATGTCATAGTCATAGGAACATGTATAAGTCATGAAGAAAGCAATAGCAACATACTAAACGATCAAGTGCTAAGCTAACGGAATGGGTCAAGTCAATCACATCATTCTCTAATGATGTGATCCCGTTAATCAAATGACAACTCATGTCTATGGCTAGGAAACTTAACCATCTTTGATTCAACGAGCTAGTCAAGTAGAGGCATACTAGTGACACTCTGTTTGTCTATGTATTCACACATGTACTAAGTTTCCGTTTAATACAATTCTAGCATGAATAATAAATATTTATCATATAAGAAAATATAAATAATAACTTTATTATTGCCTCTAGGGCATATTTCCTTCAACATTTTCATCCACTCGGATCTACCGCAATAAAAACGCATGCTTCAGTAATCATGGAAGAATATGCGATCTACTTGTAAGAAACTTTACTCAGTGTCTCGTCGGCTATATTTGGCTCAGTCCTCTTAATCCAGATTTGAATTTAGATGGTTCGCGGTTCTTCTTTTTCTCACATTGATATGGGAGTTTATAGAAAATCTATAAATAGTATATGTTATAATAAACTATATTATATTTATACATTTCCATAAAAGGAAACCATACATCTTTAAAGTACAAATTGATAATTTGGAGCATCCTGGTATTTTCATTTCTTGAAGTCGAGCATATTTTCGTATCTCCTGCCATGCTAACAATACATGAATTGAAAGAATCTTTAACTGAACTTCGCTTTTATTGAACAGAGAAACAAGGGTCCTACAGTATGATTATTTATAATGTTAAAACATTCTGCTTGTAGCATGGCAACACCGCTATTAACCTCTATCAAACAACATATATTCCTAGTTTACTACAAGAGTGCTGATGGGACAGAATATCATATGGATATATAATGAGATAATCTATTTGATCGGACCTAAGAATTATAGTAATCGGGCAATACATCTGATTAGAAGGGAAAAAAATCTTGTCTTTGAAACTCGTAAATGGCTGACAAGCTCAAGTATATCATCCAAAACATTGGCATGCTTCGGCATGCATATGTATGTGGGATATTTTTTGTCGTACTTTGTAGAAACGAAAATGTTTCATATGAAGCTCCTTTGAAATTCAAGCGCTGCAGACGTACCACTAAGAAGGCTAAGGTAGGTTTTAAATCCTGCAAATGCAGTTGACAAATATAGAGAAAATACAGCAGGTCATATGAGTTGTTACATTTAGTTTCTCTTGAATATATTACATTTATTTTTACATTCAGAATTTTGATTTTGAAGGAGTTTTTGGTTTGTTCAAAGAAAAAAGTTGTTTTCAGTGGGTTATTTTTTTAAGATAGTAGGCATGTTGTCTGGCTTTATATTGACGAAAGCCCCAATTACAGAGTAGGATTGCATGAAGTAAATCACCATTGCACCATGCGTACGTTTCTAGGTGGGAGGGTAATATTTTTAGGAAGAAAAATGATGATGTACTAAGTGAAAAAGAAGGAGTACTTATATGATTTCTTGTAGTGCTAAATGACATGATTGATATGGATTTCAGGTATTTAAGGAGACCATAAATTTGGATGGGCAATATCCGGAGTTGGTTGAACAAGCAAAACTGATATTGAAGAAGTGCAAAGGACTTCCCCTTGCACTAGTCACCATAGGTGGCTTCTTGGCAAGCCAACCAAAAACTGGTTTTGAATGGAGAAAATTGAATGAGCATATTAGTGCTGAATTGGAGATGAATCCAGCACTTGAGATCATAAAAGCAGTCCTTATGAAAAGCTATGATGGTTTACCCTATTACCTCAAGGCTTGTTTCTTGTATCTGTCCATCTTTCCAGAAGACCAGAAGATTGCACGGAGACGCTTAGTGCGTCGTTGGATTGCAGAGAGTTACTCAAGTGAGGTGTGTGGCAAGTCAGTGGAGGAAGTATTGGAGTGTTACTTCATGGAACTTTTAAGCAGGAGCATGATCCTGCCATCTCAACAGTCAATTCATAGTAGGAAAGGAATTGACTCCTGCCATGTCCATGATCTCATTCGTGAAATTGCCATCTCAAAGGCTATGGAGGAAAATCTTGCATTCACATTGGAGGAAGGTTGCAGCTTAAATAACCAAGGCATGGTGTGTCATCTTGCTGTAAGCAGCAATTGGAAGGGGGATCAGTGTGACTTTGAGAATATAGTAGACTTGTCCTGTGTACGATCACTGACAGTGTTTGGAAATTGGAGGCCATTTTACATTTCTGGTAAGATGAGGTTGCTACGAGTGCTGGATTTGGAAGGCGAGTGGGATCTAGTTGATCATCACCTTCAGCACATTGGGAAGCTTGTACATCTTAGATATCTTTCCCTAAGAGGACATCATACAATATTTCACCTGCCAAATTCATTGGGGAACCTGAGACAGCTCCACACATTAGATATTTCAGGTACAAGCATAATAAAACTACCAAGGACCATCATCAAGCTTGAGAAGATGGAACACATTCTTGCTAGTGGCACAGGAGATGCAGGTAGTCATATAGATGCAGATAAGCAGTCTCTGATGTTGCCTCTCTGTTCAGCGTATTGTTGTGTGGCATGTTGTACACGGAGGATCCTAGAAAATGAACTCGATCTTGATGATAGTGCACAACTTAACAGGCGTGATATATGCACTATGTTCTGTTGCAACATATTACCATATTTTGTGGCGGGACGAAACCCAGGTGGTGTTGAAGTGCCAAGGGGAATTTGGAAACTGAAGGCCCTGCACACACTGCGTACTGTGGACGTCTCAGTGGGGAAGGCTGTTCTACAAGATATAAAAAAGCTCACCCGGTTACGCAAGTTAGGATTGACGGGCATCAACAAGAGAAATGGTCAAGAGTTGTGTTCAGCAATTTCTCGTCTCAACAGCCTGGAGTCATTGTCACTGCAATCACATGGAGAGACAGGTTTATCAGTTTGCTTGGATGGCCTGTCCTCACCTTCAGAAAACCTGCAGAGCCTCAAGTTGATAGGCAACCTGGTTAAGCTGCCGGAGTGGATCCAGGGGCTGAAAAATCTTGTGAAGCTGAAGCTAGATGGGTCGAGGATATCGGAGCATGATGCAGCCATACAAGTCCTTGGGAGTCTACCAAACCTGGCCACCCTACATCTATTGGATAACTCGTTCGTTGGTGAAGAGGTCCGTTTCAGTTTCTGTCAGGAGGCATTCCCGAGCCTGAAGGTGCTGCAGTTGGATTGCATAGGAAACCTCAAGCTGGTGGGATTTGAAGAAGGAGCAGCCCCTAAGCTTGAGTTGCTACATTATTCTAAACTGAGGAGCAATCCCAGTGTTGGGTTGTTCTGTGGGTTACCACATCTGCCAAGCCTCAAGAATTTTATGCTGAATAGGAGGGACTGGCGTGATACCAAGTTGGTGGAGGACCTGCGAGGCCAGCTCGCAGAGAATAAGAACGGGCCCGTTTTGAAGAGTTATAGTACTCCCTACGTCCGAAAAAGCTTGTTCTTCAGACGGGTGCATTTAGCACAAAATGGACGGAGGGAGTAGTAGCTAGCTGTACTCTACTGCGAATATCTGTTTCCGAGCCCGTGCCCAGATGATCCCGTTATCCACACCACTAGTTTGCATATAGATCTGCGCGCTGTGAAGTATTTCCCTACCGTATGCTCTGAAAATTAGTCCAGCCAGGCACGCAATCAATGCGACGGCACGTCGCACTGTTGTTGTGGCTCAGCTTGCCATCGGATGGCTCAGCTATTTTTCTGAGCCTTGCTGGTCCGTGCACGACCCGGTTACAAGAGAAAAAACAATAAAGTAATCGTAGTTGTTCGTCATGGTCGCTATGTACTTTGCTTCAGTACATTAGTTCCCGTAGCAACCTGTTTATCAAAGTTGTTTTGAACGCTCGGACCTGCGTAATTACTGAAGGTGGCTCCCTCTACCACTAAGCCTGTTTCCCCATGTAGACCTGCTGGTTTTTATGTAATATTGGTCTATGTGATGTTAATGAAGTGTTTCATGCAAAAAGGAAAAGAAAAAAGGGACTGTGTTTCTGTACCATCTCAGGTCCCATGTATGAATTCCATTTTGCTAGCACATGTAATGTAAAACAAACAAAACATGCTGTTGCAGATTTTGGTCATCCCTTTTTTGGCAATTAACATCTGTGTAGTTCGGGTACATTTTTCGTGAACACAGACACAATGACAATTTGTACACTCAGAGGGGCCAGGAACTAATTTGAATTGGCAAGCACATAAAGAAGGAACTCAATATGATTGTGCAAACTTTATCATCACAAATTTGCACATATCCATGGTAATTTTTATTCCACAGCATATGATCAGAGTCATTCAGAGAGTGCATGCAAATAGTAGATCAAACAAACATAACTAGTTCCAAATTCAGAATGTGCCAATTTAGACAGATAGCCACCTGATAACATAACATCTAACACGTGAGTACAGTAATTTAAACTAAGTAGATCTCCATCGCGAAACACAGCCCATGTCTATAGTTCGCCGCGCGTACAAGCTGGCAGGGGTTTTCCGATGCAAAATGACACGTGATCTCAATCGAGCCAATCTAACGTTCATCACTCGCACAGCCAAAAGATCTTGCCAAGCTGCAATCATTCTGAAAGTAGTGCACGTTATACACTCCACTATCTTACCTGCGAAGCAAACGAGATGTACATTAAAAAGGGTCATACGTTTGGGTCTGTGTAGGACACATCTAGATGTGACATAGTTATGTCACATCTAACTTGATGTCCATTATGTTTGTGGTTTATTTTTTTGTCCCAATTTTTTTGTTCCTTATTGTTGTGTTATTTGTGGGAGCTTAGATGTGACATCCTTAGCAAACATCTAGATGTGAATTAGACAGTCTAGGACACATCTAGATGTGACATAGTTATGTCACATCTAACTTGATGTCCACTATGTTTGTGGTCTATTTTTTTTTGGTCCTAGCTTTTTTCTGTTCCTTATTGTTGTGTTATTTGTTGGAGCTTAGATGTGACATCCTTAGAAAACATCTAGATGTGAATTAGACAAACTGTATACGTTTTTTCTTCTTCTTAAACTACAAAAACCCTGTGCATGATCAAGGCAGTCGCACACACCTGCTGCATGGCTCGTGTTGCGCCACCAACGGGTACACAAATGACCATCCACGGGTGTCACCAACCCAGCGCCGAAAGTCATTGAATATGGTGCAGAACCGATGCTGGAACTTCTTTGTTAGTTCCTCATGTTTGATTTTCATCTCATCTGTTGGATCAGTCTCAGTAGGGTCAAGCACCATCATAATTTTCTTCTTCGTATCCGGGATATACAATGACTAACAATCCATGAAATTCACCGGGAACATGAACTGAAAGTTTATTTGTTCAATAACAGACATACAAAATCAGACAGATAGTACCATAGGGAATAGTTTTGCTAGGTTTGTGGTAGGCAATCCAATACCGAGGGTGCCCCATGTGGCACTTCAAAGGAGAAGATGATGCCACCCGCTATGGTCGGAAGGGTCCGGATACTTACGCTGCTTTGGCAAAAATATTGTCCGGATTATACAAAGGGAGGAGGAGTTCATCCACATTAAGCCCATGGATGGATTTCCTATGTACAACCCTCCCAGCTAGGTGAGTTTCTGTCCCACTACTCTACTCCATCAACTCCCTGAATCCTTTTTCATAAATATTAATCTGTCATTTATAACAGGAATGGCGGAAAGTCACCAGGGAGATCCACAGCCCCGCACCACAGCCAGAGGACCACAACCAGGCCCTTGATCCCGGATTCGAAGAGGATCCAGATATATTCGTGGAGCTCGGGGAAGGGGTGTGTCGGTGTCAAAACCGGCGGATCTCGGGTAAGGGGTCCCAAGCAGTGCGTCTTAGGATCAATGGTAACAGAAGGCAAGGGACACAATGTTTACCCAGGTTCGGGCCCTCTCGATGGAGGTAAAACCCTACTCCTGCTTGATTAATATTGATGATATGGGTAGTACAAGAGTTGATCTACCACGAAATCAGAGAGGCTAAACCCTAGAAGCTAGCCTATGGTATGATTGTTGTTGTATATGTCTATCGACTAGCTTGGCCCCGGTTTATATAATGCACCAGAGGCCTAGGATAACAAGAGTCCTAGCCGAATACGCCGGTGGGGGAGGAGTCCTTGTCTTGATCGCCAAGTCTTGTGGATTCTTCCTTGTATGCGGCAGCTGTCCGGACTGGCCCATGAGTATACGGCCATGGGGGTCCTTGGCCCAATCCAACTGATCAGGAGACGACGCGTTGAGTACCCCCTAGTCCAGGACACCGTCAGTAGCCCCCTGAACCGGTCTTCAAGTTAGGGACGCTCCTCAATTTTTCCGAACTGTTCTTCATCTTCGGTTGCCGGTCTTGAAAACTGGTTCAACAAATCTTCTCATCTTCTATCTTGAGGGTCGCCGAAATGCATTCGACGAGCTTACACGTCGGGTATCCGAGGAACCCCTTTAAGTTTCCGGCCTTTATCAATGCCTTGTTATTTTTATGCCACGCCTCGGGTTAGGAGTTGTTCCCGGGAGGCAGTGTCCTCTTGCGTCTGAGCTCTAACGCCGGACCGCATTCAAGGTATCTCTTGTAGTCGAGCACCAATGCCGGCCTGCTTCCCGGCTCTAACGCCGGAATGTATCCGAGCTCCAACACCGGACTATGTATCCGAGCTCCAACGCCGGACTGTATCCGAGCTCCAACGTCGGACTATGTATCTGAGCTCCAACGCCGGACTGTATCCGAGGTGTCGTAAATCACCTTGGTTCAAAGAAGTTTGAAGGAGTTTAGCCGAGCTTAATGTCGGAAATGCCCTCTATGGAGCCAGCCACTAGCGCCCGAGCTTTATGCCGGACTGCTTCCGAGGTGGTGCACTTCCCCGAATGTGGGCTGATTTTTGTCAATATTTTTGATTGGTGCAATTTATTCTCTGCCGAGATACATAGCCAGTAGCCCTCAAGGTGGGTATCGGTCTAAAACCCGAGATGCACATGAAGGATGACATAAGACCGCTGATCCCTGTAGCCGCTGAGACTCAGGTTGATTTGCAAAATCGGTCTGAGGATCAAGTCCTAGCTTGGCAGAATACTTCGGGACACAAAAAATGGTGTGCTCAGTCCTCGAGACTCAGGTTGGGTGCGGCCGACCAACCTGAGGATCAAAATCTCCTCGGAAACTATATTGCACTTAAAATTTTCTGCATAGAACAGGCAATGCAGTAGCCCCCGAGACACTGGTCGGGTGACAACACCAGATCAGGGGATCGATGTGCCCCTTTAATATTTGTAAATAATAAGCCCGAAGCCCACTAGCCCCCGAGCCTTAATGCAGGCACGGGAGGCCGAATTAAGGATCGATATCCATAGTAAAATCATAAATTATGTATAATGACTCTATGTATCCAAGTACTTTACGTCATTAATGCTCGGATCCGCATTGTACAAAACTTTGTTGACCGACCATCGGCTTCCACCTCCTCGGCCAATAGCTGAGGAGTGTTTTTCCTACTTTATAAAGCCTTTATGAGGGCAAAGATTTACAACAAACAAGGCAATCTGGCCATACGGTTTTATAAACAAAGGTACGCGGAGAGACATGTTATATTACTGTTTAACAGAAGAAATGTCTTCCAAAGAAAACAGTCCCGCTATCGGTTCCTTTCTTTGGGTTGTCATGCTAAGCATGATCATGAAACCTCAGCTCCAATGTAAGAGCAAAATATCGAGGATTTAGTTTGGGAGGCCAGTTAATAGCCCCGGTAGTGTTCGCCGATAGTCGAGGTCAATCCGTAAACACTTCGGCCATTGTTATGAATGGCCCGTCATTTAACGCCGTCATTGGATTGCCGACTACTTTACGCTTATTGTGACAGTCAGTTTTCGGCTTTCTCCACTGAGGTGCTTAACCATGTGAGCTGGAAGCACAATCGCAGTGGTTCTCCCTTTGCACACCTAGCTGAACAAAGTGGAACATAGGAGGCAAGCGCAGGAGCCGGGCAACCCAACTATTGACCGAAGACACAATTTGAAACCGATGCATATATAGCAATATCCGAGAATGTTTTTGCCGAATCTCTAAAGGTGCCCGGCGTTGCACTGCGAGACTTGTGCTGAAAACACACAAATAGTTTAAAAGTGCCATGGGCTCGAAAAGCCAAAAAACTTATTCAAAAGGTTAATGTCCGAACTAGATCAAGTGTTCGGTGCCAATCCGAAAATTGGACTTTAGAAAAAGGTGCTTCTGCCGTGCTTTAACATGACACATCCTATCTCAAAACTTCAAGCGGGTCAGCCTACGGCTTCAACCTCCTATCCCGAAGGCGGAGTACTTCTTACTAGGCCAGTTTAGCAAACTAAACTCTAGCGGCTTTGAGAGAGAAATTAGGCGCCCCGGCTAGTGACCGCACACTTGTGTCGAAAAAAGGAGTGATAAATAATAAAAAAAACTTTGCAACGACTAAGAAGAAAAACACTTATCATAAAACAGCTCATATAAATTTAAGAG